AAAGGCTGTGATAATATGAAATGTTCCGATTGTATGCTTGGAAGCGACCGCGGTGGCTGGCTTGTAAACACTGGCACCCACGGAACAAGTGAGGTGGGCTCAGGCCGCACGTGGACGCGTCTCAAACAAATCGCGTTGAGCGAGTTTTTTAGCGCTACCCGAGGCAAAATTTTTGCGTTAAAACATATCACTAGGCAGATTTAACATGATGCAATGATTTCGTTAGGCTAGGGTCCACTGTATTTGAAAACCCCTGCATAAGTGAAACACTGTAAAGCAAAGAGCTCTAAAGCAGGGCTCTCCTGTAACATGAATTTTGCTTTTAAAATAAATAAAAATAAAAGAAAATAAAGTTATTTCTATGTAAAGGTTACAATGTGTAATTACAATTTTGATTTGCTAAGTACAAAGATACCACTATCATGCCGAGGCATTTTGGGCAAACTAATCCTAATACATAATAACTAATTAAAACTATTTAAGATAATAGTACATAGTAATTATACTTAAACTAAACATGGAATAGTGGTTAGCTGTTTTACAATCTTATTTGAACTTAATAAATCTTATGTAAACTTAGTACAAAATCTAACTTACAAGTAATGGTGCAGGTAGTAATATTTTATGGAATGGCAGAATTAAAAGCCAGGACACATGATAAGACTAATTAGCAGATGTTTTGGCAGGTTTGGTTAATATTGAGAAACAAAATGATTTTTATGGGTTGGCAGAATTAAAAGCCTAGAGGTCACATGATGAAACTAATTACCAGATGTTTGGTTGATTTGGTTAATATTGTGAGATAAGATCATTTTTTAGCAAAGTTCTAAATTTATAAGCTGTCTAGGGATCCTTGGCTTGTTCCTGTAGCGAGTTCCAGATCTTCAGGACTTTTATGTGCATAGCATTCTTGCATAGTGAGAGTCTGACTTCAGGGATGTTGAAAAGGGCCTTATGCCTTGTATTGTGGCTGCACATTCTGTTGTAACTGTCAAGGAGTAGTTTTAGGGGAGGGTTTACAGTGGAGTTTAAAGTTCTGTATTTGTAGTGGGGAGAATAATATGAGTGTATGTCTTGTATATTTAGCAAGTTGAGTCTTTTGAAAAGTGGTGGGGTGTGCTGTCTAGCACAGGAGGTGGTTATCACCTGCACAGCAGCATTTTGTTGGATTATTAAGGAGGGGTGTTAATGTTGCAGTTTAAAAACTGTAGTGTAAAGCACCCTTCTGGCAAGACAGTGATGGAGTGAATGATGGTGAAAGTTTTTCTTTTTCGGGCCACCCTGCCTTGGTGGGAATCGGCCAGTGTGATAATAAAAAAATAATAATATTAAGGGTCTAAGGTGGTTGGCAGTGGTTGAACTCCAGGCACAAATACCAAAGGTGAGGTAAGGATATATTAGAGAGTGGTACAGGGTAAGGAGAGTCGTTTGTGGTACATAGTATCATATCTTGGAAAGGATTCCTACTGATTTGGAAATTTTCTTGGCTATATGATGGGTACGGGACTTAAATTTAAGATTACAGTCAAGGAGAAGACCTAGAAATTTGCCCTCTGTGTGTCTTGATATAGAGGAACCATTTAACAGTGTTGAGTTGAATATTTGAGGCTCTGTTGCCAAACAGCATGAAGTATGTTTTATCTATGTTGAGAGTGAGTTTGTTGGTCATCATCCAAGTGTATATCTTTAGCAGTTCATTGTTTACAGTGTTTCCAAGCACAGCTGGGTCTGAATGGGAGTAGACATATGTAGTGTCATCTGCGAATAGAACTGGTATAAGGAGTTGGGATGCACTGGGGAGGTCATTGATGTAGATGAGAAAGAGGAGCAGGCCTGGGGTACTCCTACAGCTGCAGGTTGGATAGCGGAGTTGACTCCATTTGTATGTACATACTGGTGTCTGTCGTTAAGATAGGATTTTAGGTAGTCAAGAGATTGTCCTCTTATGCCGTAATGATTCAGTTTGAGGTACAAGAGATTGTGTTCTACTGTGTCAAACACTTTTCTTAGGTCGATAAAGAGCCCCAGAGGATATTCATTTTTATCAAGAGCTGTGTATATTAAGTCAAGCATTTGTATAATAGCGTCATTCATACCTTTTTTTGGTCTAAATCCAAACTGGCATGGGTTAAATATGTTGCTGGATGTAAGGTAGGAGTAAAGTCGCTTGTGTATTATTTTTTCAAATATCTTGGAGAGTAAGGGCAAGTTTGATATGGGTCTGTAATTGTTCAAATCAGTTGGATCTCCACCTTTGTGAATTGGGATGACCCTTGCTATCTTGAGGATAGATGGGAAGGTTGAGGATGCTATAGATTTGTTAAACATTGTTGCAATAATGGGCGACAGTTCTGGCGCAGCTTTTTTATATATGAATGGCGGCAAGTTATCTAGATCACCTGATTTGTTCTTTAATGATTTAATGATGAGTGAGACTTCAGTGGGATTAGTTGGAACTAGAAATAGAGTATTTGGATAGTTGCCAGTGAGGTACTCGCTCGGATGGGTATTTGAGCTAGGAATTTGACTCACTAGCTTTGATCCTACATTAAATTTGTCGGCCGTGTCTATAGGTTGCATGTGAGGCTCATCTGGTTTAGTTAAGTCTCTCTCTCTATTTCCAGTCGGTTTCCTTGAGCCCAAAGTTTTGGAGAGGGTTTGCCAGGTACTATTCATGTCACCTTTCATTTCACAAAATCTATTTGCATAATACATTTGCTTTGATTTATGTATTAGTTTTGTGAGTATTGATATGTATCTTGTAGTAAATTCTTTAGTAATTAAGCCTTATCTGAACTGTTTTTCAATTTGTTGTTTTTTATTAATAGATTTGAAGATACTTTTTGTTAGCCATGGGCTGTTTAGCCTCTTTTCTGAGATCTGTTTTGTTTTGATTGGGCAATGTTTGTTATAGAGGTTTAGGATTTTATGTAAAAAAATTTTGATATCGTTATCGATATTATTATTGTCATCTAGCTCCCTCTTCCAATCAATGGCATCTAGAGCTAGTTTTAGGTTGTTTATCGATGCCTCATCATGCAGGCGAAATGAGATCTTTCTTGTTTCTTGAAGCAGTTTAGATAAGTTGGTTATGAGAAAGGTAGGATAGTGGTCTGTGGTGTTATCTGTGATTATACCTGCTTGTAGTGGGGATATCGTGTTGGTTCAGATATGGTCAAGTAACGAGGCACTTGTCTCAGAGAGTCTTGTTGGCTTTGTTATAGTGGGTAGCAACAAGCTGTTGTTCATTGCATTTGTGAAATCGTCTACTGGAGTGTCAGTTGCTTGGATAAGGTTGATGTTGAAGTATCCTGCTAGTATCAGATGTTGTTTATTCAACTCTGACTCAATTATCATGTTTCATGTTTCTAAGGTTACTGCTAAAAGTGTAAGTATTTGAGTGTGGTAGTCTGTAGGCTGTGCCAGCTCTTATAGGTTTCTTAAGTGTTCTTGATGTGAATTTAGTTATTATATATTCACCGTTTTCGTCCCGTACATTAGTTGATTTCATACATTCTAGTTCATCAGAGTAATAGATGGCAGTGCCTCCTCCTGATTGGTCGGGCCTGCAGTTATGTATGGCTGTGTAACCAGGTATGGTAAATATGTCTGTCAGATCTTGTCTGAGCCAGGTTTCAGTAAGTATAATGAAAGTTATAGTAGCATTTAGAGACTTAAGTAGTGCAATAAGGTCATCATAGCATTTACTCCATGATCTAACATTGTAGTTGAAGACTGTAATGTTCTTGCTGACACTGAGAAGGGTATTAGCCTGACTAGCAGTGTAGTAATGGCAATTACTGTTTGGATTATGTGTGCAGTTCAATAAGAGGTTGATATCAGGATCGATAATTGCATTCATAAGGGGTACGTAGAGAAATAGCGGTTACAATTATTAAAAAACAAAAAGACAAAAGCAAATGATGTTAAACCACTAACAGTTATGAACTTATGAACTAAGATAATTATTTTAAATCTAAAAATAATGGAGCTACTGAATATTAAAATAAAACACTTTAGCACCTTGATTATTTCTAAGTTAAAAGTAATGGTATCGAGTATAAAATAAAACAGAGAATAAAACACTTAAGTATGTACCTGGATTGGCACCTAAAATAGCACCTTAGGTGTCTTAGGTAGCTGGGAATTAATTACCATTATTCACTAACAAGCCTGAAAATATGGATTAAAATATGGGTAAATTTTACTATACTACTGCACTGAACATGGTTGATAAGGTGTTGAGATATGGCTTTACAAGGTTCAGTCAAACCAGTGAATGAGAGGAAACATGCTAGTTCTTGATCATTTGTGATTTCAAACCTATGACCCGTGTCTGATAATTTTACCATGATAATGCCATCACGAGTAAAGCACTGTTTTATTGATGCATTATCATGCTTAAGTTTTCGAAGTCTGTATAATAGGTTCTGACGTTTTTTAGTTAGGCACTCATTTACATACACATTACTCCTTTTCTTGATGGAGGAACTTACTAGATAATTTTTTACATTAATGGAATTGAATTTTAACCTAACACTTTGTTGTTGACCTGGCTTGTCCAGCAGTCGGGCCTCCTTGATATCACTGGTTTTAATGTTAACTTTTATCTCATCTTTTATTAGTTGGAGTGCATTGATGGTGCAATTCTCATTGTTTGTATGTGGTGGTAAGGTAGAGCTGGTTAAAATGACAGAGTCTAGTAGCTTGTCTTGTTCAATCATATCCCTTTGATACTGGAAGCATGCATTCCACTGGGATTCCATGTTTAACTTCCAATCTTGTGTAGCATCTGACAGCTTTGTAGTGAGGGAATTTATTTGTTTGGTATGTGTGTCTATAAGTGATTGGTATTATAAAACTTATCAGAAATTGCCTTAGTTCAGTCAAGCTGTTTTAATTATACTGTGCTATTAATATGAGTTTGAAAAGTTTAAATAAGACTTTTAATGAAACTATGTTAATACTGTACATGTATAACAACCTGACATTTACTGTAGGAGTAGATGAGGAGGAGACCTGGGAGAAACTTCAACAAATTCGAGCTCATGCTGTTCCCATGGAAGAGAAAAGAAAACTTAAACGTCAACTTCAGTCAGCTCCAACACTCCGAACTCGTGGTCTAGCAGCCTTTAAATTATCTAGGAGAAAATTTTGGACCCAGGTATGAGTACACAGATTATATGAATAATCTGTAATATTATTTTGTTTGACAGTACAAAGTATTATATTTTGGTTAGAAGATCTTCATTTCAGGGCAGGTTAGACTGATTATTTTTTCAATTAAAAAAAAATATTTTACAGCAACTACAAAATACAGTGTTTGAATTTAGTGTATTGATTCGTTGTCACTAATGTTTGAGTCTAACAAACTCATAGCTATTTTTCTAGTATTCTTTCTGTAGTGCTGTTTAAATTCAGCTAGGTTTATACAAATGTTGCAATGAACCTTCACCTCAGTGCAGCTCTTGCAAGAACAGATCTTGCAAGGATTCTTGGAACTGTATTTGTATATACCTGAATAAACTTACTTATTTACTTCTATTCTGTCAACTGTGTACAAGAAACTGCCCATTCAGCTGTTTCAACTACCCAATAAAGTGGCCAGAAATTGGCAATTTGGTCAATTTCACACAAATTTCTAAATATGCCAGTTTCTAAATAAGGTCCAGAATAAACAGTGCAGACATTCCTGGCACTAAAATAACATTTTCTCTGTTCATTAGCCATGGCTCCAGGCCCCTCTTATATTATTCTTGCTTTCCATTTTTTAATTTTTATTCACACAAAAAATTGGTTTACTGTTATGCAGACTACTGCATTATTGTAATAATTGTATAAATAATGTCAACCCATTCATGATTGCATATTAGACTGGCCAGTCGGACATGTATTGGTCAGTGACATCATTTGTTTACTCTTGAACGTCGGCAAAGAATCGAACATTTCGGCAGTTTGAGCTCAATTTCAAGGTACTTGTCATCATGAAACCAATGAAAATCATATCTGTTTCTGTAATATATCTTCCATTCTATCAAATGAGACCAAAAAACAAGAATAAAACAATAAATACCATACGAAAATATACTGCTAAGGGGCAGCTAATGGTTAAGAAGTGAACTCCTTTATTTATCGTCCAATTTGTTTCATTTTTGGTGTACATTAAGAAGCTTGTACGTGAGAGAGTGGGTGAGATGTTATCAACAAATTTTGTTGAAAATAAGAAAAAGTTTTGGAGTGAGATTAACAAGTTAAGGAAGCCTGGAGAACAAATGGATTTGTCAGTTAAAAATAGGAGAGGAGAGTTATTAAATGGAGAGTTAGAGGTATTGGGAAGATGGAGGGAATATTTTGAGGAATTGTTAAATGTTGATGAAGATAGGGAAGCTGTGATTTCGTGTATAGGACAAGGGAGGAATAACATCTTGTAGGAGTGAGGAAGAGCCAGTTGTGAGTGTGGGGGAAGTTCGTGAGGCAGTAGGTAAAATGAAAGGGGGTAAGGCAGCCGGGATTGATGGGATAAAGATAGAAATGTTAAAAGCAGGTGGGGATGTAGTTTTGGAGTGGTTGGTGCAATTATTTAATAAATGTATGGAAGAGGGTAAGGTACCTAGGGATTGGCAGAGAGCATGCATAGTTCCTTTGTATAAAGGCAAAGGGGACAAAAGAGAGTGCAAAAATTATAGGGGGATAAGTCTGTTGAGTATACCTAGTAAAGTGTATGGTAGCATTATTATTGAAAGAATTAGGAGTAAGACAGAGAATAGGATAGCAGATGAGCAAGGAGGCTTTAGGAAAGGTAGGGGGGGTGTGGACCAGGTGTTTACAGTGAAACATATAAGTGAACAGTATTTAGATAAGGCTAAAGAGGTTTTTGTGGCATTTATGGATTTGGAAAAGGTGTATGACAGGGTGGATAGGGGAGCAATGTGGTAGATGTTGCAGGTGTGTGTAGGAGGTAGGTTACTGAAAGCAGTGAAGAGTTTTTATGAGGATAGTGAGGCTCAAGTTAGAGTATGTAGGAAAGAGGGAGATTATTTCCCAGTAAAAGTAGGCCTTAGACAAGGATGTGTGATGTCACCGTGGTTTGATTATATATTTATAGATGGGGTTGTAAGAGAAGTAAATGCGAGGGTCTTGGCAAGAGGCATGGAGTTAAAAGATAAAGAATCACACATAAAGTGGAAGTTGTCACAGTTGCTCTTTGCTGATGACACTGTGCTCTTGGGAGATTGTGAAGAGAAGTTGAAGAGGTTGGTGGATGAATTTGGTAGGGTATGCAAAAGAAGAAAATTAAAAGTGAATACAGGAAAGAGTAAGGTTATGAGGATAACAAAAAGATTAGGTGATGAAAGATTGGATATCAGATTGCAGGGAGACAGTATGGAGGAAGTGAATGTATTCAGATATTTGAGAGTAGACGTGTCAGCGGATGGGTCTATGAAAGATGAGGTGAATCATAGAATTGATGAGGGGAAAAGGGTGAGCGGTGCACTTAGGAGTCTGTGGAGACAAAGAACTTTGTCCTTGGAGGCAAAGAGGGGAATGTATGAGAGTATAGTTTTACAAACGCTCTTATATGGGTGTGAAGCATGGGTGATGAATGTTGCAGCGAGGAGAAGGCTGGAGGCAGTGGAGATGTCATGTCTGAGGGCAATGTGTGGTGTGAATATAATGCAGAGAATTCGTAGTTTGGAAGTTAGGAGGAGGTGCGGGATTACCAAAACTGTTGTCCAGAGGGCTGAGGAAGGGTTGTTGAGGTGGTTCAGACATGTGGAGAGAATGGAGCGAAACAGAATGACTTCAAGAGTGTATCAGTCTGTAGTGGAAGGAAGGCGGGGTAGGGGTCGGCCTTGGAAAGGTTGGAGGGAGGGGGTAAAGGAGGTTTTGTGTGCGAGGGGCTTGGACTTCCAGCAGGCATGCGTGAGCGTGTTTAATAGGAGTGAATGGAGAAAAATGGTTTTTAATACTTGACGTGCTGTTGGAGTGTGAGCAAAGTAACATTTATGAAGGGATTCTTGGAAACCGGCAGGCCGGACTTAAGTCCTGGAGATGGGAAGTACAGTACCTGCACTCTGAAGATTAGATTAGATTTTGCCACCAAAGTGGCTAGTTTATTGTGCACCCCATATCCATCCTGTGGACGGTAGCATGAGACCATATGGATACACAAAAGGCCTAGGAACTAGGTCCCAAAGGGTTAACAGGAATACATATGGATTTATATCTACATATCTATAGTTCACTTATCTGTTACAAGCAAATTTAGGAAATTTGCTTAGTATATCTGGTATCTTATTTTCATTAATAAGATATCTTGACATGTCACATAGGTTTTTATACTGTCTGTCTCTGTATTCCTCAATAAGTGGACAATTAAGCACATAGTGTTCAAGAGAGTGACCATATGCCTGATCACATAATTTACATTTAGTTTGATCATCATCTGTGTGTCTCCCAAACTGCCAGAAGTACTTGTAACCAAGCTAAGCCTGGCCACTACAACATCAGTCAGTCTGTTCACATTGCAAGTTGCTCCATAAACATACTTATTCTACGTTCATGTTATCATGTGGGTTATAGATCTACTCAGGCTTTTAACTGCATTCCTATAACAATCATTTTCATTATTTACTTCTCTCCTAATATTATTCCTAATGCTAGACACAGTTATACCAAAGTTATATTCTACATTCTCCTTCTGGGTACTCTTCTTGGCTAACATATCAACTTTATCATGAAGGGGTAATCCAATGTGTGATGGGATCCATAGCAATTGTACATTAATTCCTTTGTCCCTAATTTTTGAGTATTATACCTGGCTTCCCAATGAGCATGTTGTTGGAGTCATTATATGAGTCAAGAGCCTTCAATGATGACATAGAATCAGTAATGATGATAGAGTCAAGCTCAGTGTCATAGGTTAGCTTTAGCGCCATTAGGATTGCAAACAATTCAGTTTGCAGTGTAGACGCCCAGTTGTTAATTCTTATGCCTAACTCAACAAATTTATTATCGTTCTTAACTAGGGAGGTGGCAACAAGAGCAGATGCAACCCTGCCAGAAGACTCCTGTTTAGATCCATCAGTGTATATAACTTGTGATAACTTATTACTACCGGCTAGGTGAGAAATTTCTTCTTGAGCAGTTGCTCTAACAAGAGATTTAAGGAAGGGATTACTAGCAATGAGCTTCTTGGGAGGGACTTGTAGGTATGTGATATTAAATGTACACATCTTCCATGGAGAGGTGAAATGCTCTTGTTGCCTACAGTGATACAGTTCATGTAGGTTATAAAACTTAATGCAATTGCACGTTTTCACAATCCCATTTAGATCTGTGTATATTTACCTCTAGACACTTGGTAAGATTCACTGTGACAGTGTCTGGTTCGTTTCTCAACATTCTAATACCGAGTACAGTGTTAATTTCAACAATCCTATCACTGATACTAGAAATACCAAGCTCCTTCCTCATGTTAAGAACTTTTGTAGATCTGGGACAGCCAAGAATAATCCTGAGAGCTTCATTTTGCATTAACTCCAAGGGTCGGAGAGAACTTTCTCTAGCTAATACAACATGGGAGCAGCATAATCAATTAAGGACCTAACATAGGCTATGTACATCATTCTCACGATTCTCACATAGCACCATAGTTGGGATTGTAGCCAGCAACAGCTTTGAGAGCATTTAGCCTAGCTTTGCATTTCTTGTTTAGTTGTAGTGGATTTGTTAAAGGGTACATCTACACAAAGATATCTGTAAGTTTTAACGTAGCTAATGATTTCACCCTGCAAATAGATGGGTGGGGGATGTCGTTTGCTTGTTAAGATCTTTGTTTTAGAGGAAGATATTATGAGGCCTAGTCGATTACAAATTGCTTGAACTTCATTAAGAATGGTATTCATCTTCTTATGCCGTGTTGTATGGATCATGATATCATCAGCATAGCTTATAGCTATATGTTTAGGTGAGGCAGGTAGAGCATTTAGGAGAGCATTAATCAGAATATTAAATAGCATAGGACTAAGAACTCCTCCCTGCGGTGTACCTAAAGACATTTCTTTAGAATCACTTCTGAAGCCTTGGTAAAGGACAGAAGATACTCTATTTGACAGGTATCCTATTATCCAGCAGAGTAAGCTACCACCAATATTCATTTTG